CAATGATCCTCAAGCATGCGCTCGAACTTAACTTTCTCTTTTTCACTTTACAATTCTTGTTGTGCATCACGAATGGCATCGCCAAGAGCATCACCGAGATCATCTTCTACCGCTACCTCTTCTTCATCTCCCCCCATTGTAGTATCATCAAAGGCACCATACTGAGCAATAATGTCATCAATGTCTAAATCTTCTCCTTCACCTTCTTCCATCATTACCCCGCTTTCTCCATGCTTAGTCCAACATATATAGTTTGACATGAAACCTGACTTAAGCAAATGTGAATGAAGACTCATTGAGCTTGAATATTCCTTTAAATTCTTACATAGGGCACATGGACAGCACATGAAACCATCCCGCTTATTTGCCTCGGCCACACCTAAGAAATAGTGCAAGCCCTCAATAAAGTCTTGGGAGCGGCGATCGGCATTGTACATCCAATGGCATGACATAATCTGTATTACACGATAAATTATGAAAACCTTGAACATAATTTAGTATTTTATTACACAACATAAATGACACACACACGGTTGATTAATTAACTAAGCCTGGCTACAATGTAAGCAATCCCAACTATCACTAAACAAACTAAAACTACAATGCACTTCAGTAACATAATTATTTCGTGATCGTACGCAACTAAAACAGACAAATCATTCTTCTGTTGAATATCAATAAGCTTCTCCTGCTGGCTCACTGACTCATCAGCAGCAGCCGAATTCTGCACGTATGTAGCATAATCTTTCTCCCAGTACCAACCATCGCATCCATTGCCCTCCCACTAAAATTAAAGCCAAAAAATATTTAGTCAAAAATATTCAAGAAAAGCAGGTCAATTAGCCATAATAATCAAATGCGTAAGAAACTCACATCGCGATCCGGGCACTTGTAGAAAACACGACCCTTGTTGGGTCCCTGTCTCTTGACTCGGTACTCCATCACAATCTTCTGCTTACACTTGCCGCAGATAATGAGAGGGAGTTCTGGCCTCAGTCATTTCGCAACCGAACGAGAGGCCGAGGATCCGGTACTAGTTGTCATCTACTTTCTATACTTATTTTTGTAAACTACTGTAAATTTCACATTTTCTAAAATAATATATTTAAACAAAACTAAAATTATTTATTTATCTAACTAAACCATGAAATATGTATTATGTATAATAGTAAAATACCAAACTATCAAGTGATTTTACTATTGTAAATCATCATGTGATTTTGAGCTAAAAATGACATAGAAATCACATAGCTCAAAAACATGTTTCAATAAATAACCATCCATACTAGTTGACCTTGCTTACGTGATCATCTCGGCGAGCATTTCTCTACCGGACGGCACCGTACTTGGCCAAGGAAGAGCTCCGATTCTACGAGGAAGGGAACACGGTCTTCCACGACCGTTGCTGCTCTCCCTCGTAGAATCAAAGCTCCTCTTTGACGTCCGTTACCGCTCGGCAGAGAAAATGCTCACCGAGATGATCACGGTCCGCAAGTTCAACTAGTACGGATTTTCTACAATTTTCTAACTATTTTCTAAGTTTTTCATTTCATAGAAAAATTAATTCTAAGATCACGTAAGCCGCCGGGGACGAGGATGGCGCGTGCTCCAGCGAGGACGAGCGAGACGTGATTTTGATGAACTAATTTAACTTTTGTTTATCCAAACATATATGCAAATCATCATGTGATTTTGAGCTAAAAATGACATATAAAATCATAATAAAGTCCAACATATAAAGTTACACATGCATCTACATCGTAAAATGAGATAAGCTACTGATAAAACATAAGAGGATTAAGTTTGTTACCTCCAAAATCGAAGAGCAACACCAATGGAGGGGGAGGGAGCAAGAACAACAGCAAGCTGAAGAACAGAGGCAGTGAGTTTGAATGGAATGGCTCGGGCTCGGGGAGGAAGAAATGAGCCGTTGTATAGGCCCGCATAATTAGTCCCGGTTAGATGGCCAAACCGGGACTAAAGATTAATATTTATTCCCAGGATATCACCCAAACCGGGACTAAAACCTTTAGTCCCGGTTGGTAATACCAGCCGGGACTAAAGATCCCTGCCACTCGGACGACCGTTGGGCAGGAACCTTTAGTCCCGGTTGGTATTACGAACCGGGACTAAAGGGTCCTTTAGTCCCGGCGGCAAAAAATGCCGAGGCTAATGCCAAATTGGGACATCGTTCTAAAGTCTGTTCTCTAGTAGTGACCAGTTAGTGGCAAGAAATCAGTAATGCATGCCATGTGGTGATTGGGCTTCAATCAATGCCGGTCTTCTTGACGTTGTCACGTCCATTCGCCCTCGGTAGCTAGTCCCTACTGTACTATGAAAATGTTGTTTACTAAGAAATTAAAATGTTGTCTAGGAGACATTGACACATTCGTACACACCATTTTTATTTATTTAAGAAATAATGATGAAAGTGTAGGTGACACATCCACATTATTTGATTTGGATAGTGGTTTCAGTAAAAGATAGAGGGTCATTCTAGATGGTGGGGTTTATTTGGGTTGAAATCCTCGTGGTCTCAAATGATTTCCGAAGCAGTTCACCTCTCTCCAAACAAGACCAGAAATAGGTGCTACTAGAAACGCGGGCGCAGCTTTGCCGTGCCTTCCTTTTCAATTAGGCCAGTGACAATAAGAATATAGGTGTAGTGACGAGAAACTCAGCAATTTTTTTTCATTTTATGATTTTTATGTATTTTCGAGACTTTATCATCATGAAGGTATAATTTTATTTACTCCTAAAAAGCATAGGTCAACCTAGAAGGGGTTTTTGGAAAAATGACCGCGGCTCGCCCGATCCTGGCCGTCCGCGCGCCCGATCGAACGGCCTCGAAAAGCACGCGACGTGGCCACGCTGCCTGGCCAGCTTTTGGAGGCAGGATTCATATGTAAAAGATTAGTAGAAGGAAGATGGTTTGATACAAAGACTTCATCCACTCCAATGCTCCAAATCAGGATGGGGACCTAATCCTGCAATTGAATGGATGAAGTCCTAAATTTTTACTTAATTGGTTTCCATAGTCGCAGGTGGTTGTCGCAGCCTGCTCCGTCGCCATGAATTGGACAACCATATCGTTGAAGCAATAAAAAAGAAGCTCACCTACCTCTTGGAATTGGCAAAAAACATCATTCAGTCTTGAGGTTTTTTACCACTGTATTTTAGGAGATATGGTATGTCCTGTAAATGAGACAAGTTCGATTATATGGCCATGGTTCTGAAATTTCATGCAATTGCAAAATATAATAAAAACAGGCATACTTTATGGAAATATCAGGATTGAGACTAACTGTAGAGATTGAAAGAGGACTTTCAGGATAGCCCATAGGCAGTGTGATCTGCAGTAAATGAATCCATCCTGGTTCATCCCTGGCAGATAGATAAGCCATAATTTCAGACAACATAATAGAATTAAAGAGATGCCCAAAGACATTTAGCAAGATTTGAAAAACTCATAAGAAACTCAGATCACCGAAAACATTATTTTCAGGCATTTCCAATTCTGAAATAATCCTAAGCATCAACAAGTGTTTAACGTGGTAGGAAACACAATAGAGAAGCTGGAAAAAAAAAAAGAAACTCCCATACGATATACAGCTATTATTATTGTTGTTCCTTTTGATTTTCAATGACAGTAGCAAAGCTAATGATATGTGCATTTTGCAGATATCTCTCTATACGTAGGAAGATTCCTGGATAAAGATTCCAAGTAAGCTACCAACATCCTGCTCACAATATTTTAACAAATCAAATAAGGAGCAGTTTGAAACCTCTACATCAAACAATAGTATGAACAATGTTTGATAATAAAAATATAGTTGGAGAAAATATATGTTTTTAGTATGAAAATTGAAAAGTATGTTTGATTGAACAGAATGCTTTGCTGCAATCAAAACAAGTTGATCCTTTCTATCTATGATAAAGTATACATCATCATATACTAATTGCAGTGTGGGTACAAGTGTTTGATGTACTAAGACTAATAAGGCAAAATAAAATGTACATAATTTTTTTATTATGTGTAACTTGAGAATCTTTCATATATAGTCTGAAATAAACATGAGAAGTTTAATCGAATTTGAGTTGTATATATTTGGTGGCATAAATGCTCACTTGTTCCTCACTGTAGGTCGTCTTGTCTCATATATGACATGCACAGATTAGCATGAAAACTGCTAATTCAATTTTCAGTTGGAAATATTTGTTGGCATCAATACTCATCTGTTTCTTGCTGCAGATCAGCGACCCTTTCTCAACATATAGAGCAGTCAGTGGCCACATGGTTGTTCAAAATGATTGATATCTGAACCTGAGATTAAAGATCCATCAAAATTGCAATGTTAATTAGTTACAAACTGATAACAACATGATGCAAAGTATGACAGTACAGAATATCTCAGGCAAAGTTTTGAAAGTCGACGACTACGACGCGCCTAGTCGCGCCTAGTCGCTAGGCTACGGCCCGGCGCCTGGACTAGGGGGGTAGTCGCCCCTCAAGTCGACGGGAGCGCCTAGGCGGCACTAGGCAGCGCCTCCGCGCGACTCGGCGGCGCCCAGAAGCCCTAGGCGGCATGGAATCGACTCAAGTCGGCCCGGGTTTCCAGCGCGCGCAAAGTATTACGCGGCGGCTGGCGAGCGCGCGCGCGGGAAAGGTTGGCGCCGGGGGGAAATTGCCGCGCGCGCGACGGATAAGGCCGCGTATGGGTACCGAAGCCGCGCGCGACGCTATTCCGCTGCCAGGCGACGCTCCTCTCCGCCGGGAAGCAGCTTCCGCCGGCGCCGACGCTCCTCCCCGCCCGCCAATCCATTCCGACCTTGTCCTCCTCCACTCCTCCGCGGTCTCCGCCCAGCTCGTCCTCCTCCCCGCATCAAAGCCTCGAAGGGCCTCCCCGCCGACCAACTCCCCGCCGCCCAGTACCCTCCCCGGCAGTCATCTCCCTCAGGCGGAGCCCCAGCCCCCAAGACCGACGCCCGAAGCCGAAGGTATGTCCTCCCCTGCTCTGTTCTGCTCCCTTGAACTGCTCTGCTCTGTTTCCCTGCTGCTCTCCTCTCCTCTGTTTCTGAAATCTGAAGTATGAATCTGTGAATTGCTGTAGTACTGCATGTATATATCATTATATCTGATTGCTTGTTCTGAAATCTGATTGCATGTTCTGAAACTCAGATTGGTTGATTGCTACAGCCTACAGGCATACTGATTGCTTTGATTTCTGAAATCTGAAATCTGATTGCATATACTGATTGGCTGATTGCCTGATTGCTTTGATTGCATGTGTATGTTTGTAATTTGTTGATTGTTCAGATGACGGAAACAGAGGGTCAACCTGACTCTGGAAGTGCAACAGCGGGAGGAAATGTCTTGAGAAGGAACTCAGATGATGTGGGATGGGAGTTTGGGGTTCTTGTTAATCCGAACAACAAGGACCAGGTGAAGTGCATACTCTGTGACAAGGTCATGTTTGGAGGGGTTTATCGGTTGAAGCAGCATATCGCCCTGGAAGGAAAGAATGCAAAGAAATGCCAGGGCACGAAGACCTCCAAAGAGAAGTTAAAGGAGGCTCAACAAAAGTGCAAGAAAGCACTAGATGAAGCAAAAAGGAAGAGGGAGGAGAAGACTGTTCGTGAGATAGAACTTAGAGAGGAAGTTCATGTATCTAGGGTTGGAACCTCAGAGGAAGTCACTTGTGTTGGAAGTTCAGAGCCTCACAAATTAGGCCCCATGGACAAATGGACAAAAGCTATTGATCCTACAGCAACCAAATCTGAATCTTTGACTCAACAAAAGCTGAACAAGAAACTTTGGAAAGAAAGATTACATGAGGTGCATAAATATATTGCAAGATGGGCCTATAACCATGGTAATTTCCTTACTGTTTTTTTTATTTCAGATTTCATTGGATGCTATGCTACTACCTATTGCTGTAGTACTGCACTAATTTCCTTTCTTTGTAACATTGGCATCAATACCATTCAATGCTTGTGACAACGATGAGTTCAAGCAAATGTGTGAAGCAATTGGACAATTTGGGCCTGGAATTGAACCGCCAACTATGTTTGACCTGAGAGGGAGATTGCTAGAAGAAGAATATGCAAGAACCAATAGTTTGCTGTAAGAACGTGAAGCCGAGAAGATGAAGAATGGGTGCTCTATTATGACCAATGCTTGGTCAGATAAGAAGAGGAGAAGCATAATGAATTTGTGCACTAATTGTGCTGATGGAACCAGTTTTATTTCCTCAAAAGAGATGTCAGATGTGTCACACACAAGTGAAGTCATCTTTGAACTAGTAGACAAAGCAATTGAGGACATTGGTGAGGATGATGTGGTGCAAGTTGTGACTGACAATGCTTCTAACAACATGGGAGCAAAGAAGCTTCTGCATGAGAAGAGACCACAGATCTTTTGGACCTCTTGTGCAGCTCACACAATCAACTTGATGCTCCAAGGAATTGGCAACATTCCTCGGTTCAAGAAGTTGGTTGACCAAGCAAAGGCATTCACCATATTTGTCTATGGGCACACAAGAACACTAGAGTGCATGAGATACTTCACTGAGGGGAGAGAGATAGTAAGGCCAGGAGTGACTAGGTTTGCTTCAAACTTTCTGACTTTGGAAAGCATACAAGAGAAGAAGGACCAGCTAAGAAAGATGGTGGTTCATAGTAGGTGGGACTCACTGAAGGATGTGAAATCACAGAAGGGAAAAAATGCTACAGCAACTATATCGAATCCAAATTTTTGGAAGGATGTGAAGTTGACATTGGCTGTTTTTGAGCCATTGTTCAAAGTTCTTCGTTTGGTTGATGGAGATGTGAAGCCATCCATGGGTTTCGTATATGGAGAACTATTGAAGGCAAAGAGAAAGATCAAAGAGGCCCTTTGCAATGTTGAGTCCCGTTTCAAGGATGTTATTGACATTGTTGAGAAGAAGATGGCTGGAAGACTTGATTCTCCATTGCATTTGACAGCTTATTTGCTGAATCCACACTACAGTTATGCTGATCCATCAATCTTTGATGTCCCCAAAATAACAGAAGGTTTTATCAGTTGTGTGGAGACTTTTTATTATCATGATGAGGAAATGCAAGAACAAGCTGCCAATGTTGAACTCCAGAAGTTTCAGAGTAGAGAAGGACCACTTAGCAAGAAGCTTGCAAGGACTTTTGAAAACTTTGATTATAATCTAGGTAAAAGTTATTTCCTGATTATACATGGCTGTTTGTTGTGTTCATCTAACAAGAAATCTGCTATAACTACTAACTAACAGTGTGTTTTTTTTATTTCAGCATCATGGTGGCGGCTGTATGGAACTGAAACACCAGCTCTACAGAAGATGGCTACAAGGATCCTATCTTTGACAGCAAGCTCTTCTGGTTGTGAAAGAAATTGGGTGCACACTAAGAAGAGAAACAGGCTTACGGTAGACCGCCTCAACAAGTTGGTCTACATTCAATTCAACAACAGGCTGCTTAATAAGAGAGCAAAGATCAAGTCAAAGAAAATTACTGATGTTCTCTTGTCTAGTGATACAACTGAAGCTCAAGGTTTCCTCCAAGAGAATGGAGATGATTTGGCAGTAATTGTTTTTAGAGATGATGAAGATGAGGAACTCATGAAAGGTACAGGAATACCTTGGTCTGTGCTTGGAGATGCAGTGGGAGCAGAAGAACAACTAGAGCTGCGTAGAAGTGCAAGGGTGAGAGAGCTCTATGAAGGAGAAGAGTTCCAGTCCGAAGAAGAAGAGTTTGATGAAGATGAGGATGACTATATGATGGATGATTAGATGAACCCTACTGAAGAAGTGTGAGACAGCCTCATGTCATGTTTGCTTTGCTTTTGTGATCTTAGAACTCTTTGCTTTTGTCATGTGTGCTTGTGTTTTGTGTTGTGAGAACTAAGAACTGAGAATCATGTGTTGTAATGTGTCTTCTATCCATTTTATGTTCTATGTTGCTGCCTGTTGTTGTCTTCTACTCTTCTCCATTGCAGTTGGACTATTGGATACTTGGAGCATTGCTGCATCAACTACAAGTAAGGAACATCACTTCTGTTATTCTGTATCAACTACAAGTAAGGACTAAGGACCTAAGGTATGTCTATCTAAATTATTCATGATTTCTGCTATATAAATATATATATTATGCTATATATATTATATATTATACTAAATTGGCAAAACGCCTAGCATCGCCTAGGCTAGCCTAGGCTGGACTAGTCGCTAGGCTAGGGGTCATCGCCTAGATTTCGCCTAGCACCTAGAAAAACTTTGATCTCAGGGATAGTCTTGTGGAGGTTAGCTTCGGACCTGGAATAAATTAAAACAACACAGGACCTGCCTGGTTCCTCTAATGTAGAAAAAAGTAACTTTTTGAAATCTCAGCCAATCACCAATGTAGAATCAGTTCCTGCAATCTATGCACAAATTAGTCAGATAGTGTCAAAGTCAATACCTATATTCTAGATTTCTAGCTAGGCATTTCAACGAACAAATCGTATGCAGTGGGCTGTGGGCTAGTGGCCATAGAGCGACAACAGGATCTTCGCATGGAGCTCTTACACTGAAGTCATAGCCGATGAGGAACAGATTGCAGGATTCCGGGCAGTCTACGGCCACCATCCCCCGGACCCGCGCCTCCCATTGCCATCATGCGCCCACCCGGCCACCACCGGCCTGTGCAGGCACAACACGTACATCGCTCGCTGCACAGATGCGCCACCACCGCCTGCCTGACTTCGCCTCTGCACCCCGCGCCACCACATCCGCCAGGGGCTACCGTGCTTAGGGATCTGGCCGCGCCGCCTCTAGGGCCGCCTTGCCCGTGCATCTAGCCACGCTGACACTGGGGCCACGCGAGTGGCCGGCCACCGTGCCGCAAGGTGGCCATGGAGGAAGGGTCCACCGCCGATCTGGATCTGGGGTGAGGTGGGGGAGGTGAGGGGAGAGAAGGTGGAGGGTCGTCGGTGGGTCGGGGATGGAGAGGCGAGGAAGTACCGCCGCCACTATCGCCGTGCACATCCCCATCTGGCCTGCTCACCGGGACGGAGGGAGCGCTAATGAGGGGAGGGGCGCCGCTGCCTGGGGGAAGGAGGCTCTTGCCGGCGTGCCGCCCGCGGGACGTCGTTGCCCTGCGTCCGCCGTTGCCTCGGGAGAGAGAGAGGGGGAGGGACGAGGTGTTTTTTGCAAAATATACTGAGAGGGCGTCTGGAGCGCGGCTTGATTTCCGAAAAATAGAAGGTTTTTTTTGAAAAAAGACCGTGGCTCGTCCGATCTGGGCCGTCCGCGCGCCCGATCGAACGGCCGCGAAAAGCACGTGACGTGGCACACTCGCTGGCCAGCTTTTGGAGGCAGGATTCATATAAGAAGATGTGTATGTGGTTGCCCGCTGAGAATTTTCCTTCCGATTCTTGTATGTATGTGTTGATTATGACCAGGCGTAAAGTACCAACAACGAGAGTTATGCAGCAGGATCAGAGCATCTGTCGCACCCAATTTTAAGGATAATATAGGATGCAAAATCTTATGTGCGTCCAGAGATCAGTCACCCACATAAGCCGATAAATTATAAATAATATCATCACAAGTGTTTATTACATCACGAATAATAAGACAGAGTCTTCACATAAATATAGCGGAAGTATAAAGAAAAGATGTCTCGTGAAAGCTCCATATCACATGGACGTCAACTGGTTGACCACAAATCTAATAATCCTCAGAAAAGTCGTCATTACCATAGCCATCCGTTACCCATCCGAGATTTTTATCCAAATTATGAAAATAAACAAGCGTAAGTACATGTCGTACCCAACAACTGTAGCATGGGGTTCATGAGGCTCAAAAGGCTTGACACAGGTTTAACAACATTCAGCTTTTAGTTGTCACAATTTTAGCATAAGAGTAGAAACAAGTTGGTGCAATCCCAAAGTAAAACATATGATCAATGTAAACATGAATAATGAATAGCACAAACCAATAATTCTTAGTGATCATCTATTCCATAAATGTTTCAAGGCCGCTCGTGACCGTGAGCATGGCTGATATACCAGTTTTACACTTTACAGAGGTTGTACACTTTCACTGTGAGTCGTGATTTACCCTTTCGCCCGAGGTCGCGAGCCACTTAACTCACTACCAAGGAAGGTCGGCAGGATTCACTATGAAGCCTTTTAAAGGTTTGTCTAACAAGTTAGGGCCATTAGATTTACTCGGCAAATAGATGTAGAGCCCCCCTTTCCGATGGCACATTAACACGTAGCCTATACTCATGAGGACAGATGCCGCACTATACCCGATTAGGAAGCCATTCTTACGTCAATAAAGGTAACCACTAAAAAGCTAGAAAAGGTCATCATACTGAGCTAAAGCCAGAGCCATATAGCCCTCACAGCTGTACTGTAAGTCTCGGATGATCACTTATAGATAAGTCCTTAGGGAGAGAAATCTAAAACATCATAAAAACAGCCCAATGCTCTAGCCCCCTAGTTCCATGTTTCTAAAAAGTCATATTTTAATGTTTATTGCATATACCATTAGTCAAGTTACAAGATCATAGTTTAATTGAGCACTAGCAAAGCTACCCAATGCAAATCCCATAGGTGACAAGTTATAAGTTCAATTCTAGGGAATCCCTATCAAGATAACACATGCAACATGAATTTTATGTATTAAAATGAATATGAAACAAGGATAATCCCATGCTATACTTGCCTTGAACAAACTGCTCCTGCTGATCTGGCTCATCAAAGTAATACTCTTGGTATCCCACGAATTGCTCACCATATATACTCGACAATCATAGCAACATACAAGCATCCAGAAGCAATCATGCATAGCAACCAAAAGCTATAGATTAGAACAGTACACTAATAAGCATAAAATCAAGACGAAAAGTTTATAAAATGGATCTACATCTCACTACGAACACACAGACGCGAAGATCATAGAAATCGAAGCTAAAACGAAGAAGTTATGAATTAAACAAGATTTGCTTTAGTAAAATAATAGATTAAATCTAACCCCTAAATTTTAAAAGTTGAAAACATACTTAATAGTAATATGAAATGTATATTATGAAATTACGATCCTAACGCAAGTTGAACGGACCAGATCGGAGTTAAAACAGAGATTTTATGGCCTATAGAAGGTAGTGGTAGTTCTATAAATATAGGAAACTTGATTTTTGAATTAAAATAAATAAAACCTGATTTTTAAACCTGGCCGAGGACTGCGGGCATTATTAAAAGAAAAGGCATGGGTCCTTTTGAAAGAAACCAGGGACGGCGGGTTGAGATCTAAATAGTTATAAGGGCCTTTTTGCAAATGTGACCGCCGAAGGGGTATCGGCTGATCTCCACCGTTGGATTAGATTTGAACGGCTGAGATTGGTTCGAGAGGGCGAAGTCACCGGCGGCGAGCTGGTCTGCGGCGGCGCCATTGTCGGAGCGGGCGGCGCTCATGGGATACGACCTATGGACCACCACTGAGCGAATCAAAGGCACGGGGAGAGAGGAGATGATGGCGGACTCACTGAAGGGCTTTTCGTGAACAAAGGCGGGACTGCAGCGACGTGAGGCTCGGTGAAGTGGACGGCGTTGGCGGCACCGTGAGCTGCTAGGGTTCCGCGGTGGTTGGAGCAAAAGCGAGGGCGACGGCTAACATTATAGGATTTGATGAGGGCGGCACAGTGCGGGCCGCCTTATATAAGGGCCAGAGGCGTGGGGCGCACGCCATCCGAGCACATCGGGGCGGAGGAGGACTCGGCGGTGCGGTGTCCGTGCCGGACACGAGAGGGAGGAAAGAGATGTGGCTGACAAGGTGGGCCCACCCATCGGCGAAAGAAGGTGAGGGACCAGCGTGTCAGCGAGAGAGAGAGAGAACGGCGCAGCGCGGCAGCGACGTGCTAGGCCGGGGCGCGCGCTGCTGGGCTGAGCTAATTGGGCCGTGGGGAAGGGAAGAGCGGAGCAGGCCACGCTGGCGAAGCGATGCGTGGACGGAGCTTGGCCGGCGCGGAGAAGCGGGCCAGCAGGCCGAAAGCACAAGAGGGAGAAGAAAATCCATTTTCCATTTTCTAAACCAATTTCCAAACCAATTTTGAATGCAAATTCAATTCAATTTGAAATCTGATTTCAAACCACATAATACAAAAATAATATGCAGCAGCATAAATGCATAAACATGTATGTAGACCTATATTTGATTTTAATTTTAACAAAATTATTATTTTCCTAAATTTAAATGCTCACAAAATGCGTAGTTAAATCATTTTTTCCTATTTAAAATTATGCAAATTTTAGGGTGTTACAATTCTACCCCCTTAAAATGAATCTCGTCCTTGAGATTCGGACTATGCTTACTCAAAAAGCTGCGGGTATATTTTTCTTAGATCCTCTTCTCTTTTCCAAGTAGCCTCATCTTCTGTATACCGATTACACTGAACCTTACACATTTTTATAACTCGGCTCCTTGTAATTATTTCTACCGTCTCCAAAATCCTTACCAAAAATTCCTCATAGGTGAGATCTTCCTTAACTGTGAGTCTCTAATGGTATCTGCTCCTCTAGTACACGCAAACATTTCTTTAATTGAGACACATGAAACACATCGTGTACACCAGACAAACTCTCATGCAATTCCAACTAATAAGCTACTTCTCCACGTCTCTCTAGAATCTTGAAAGGTCCAATATACCTTGGTGCTAACTTTCCTTTCATGTTAAACCTTCTCACACTTCTCATAGGTGACACCTTTAGATAAACAAAATCCCCTATTTTAAAAACCAATTCTCT